CAAGGAGTTGTGTTGCATGTTCTGAAAGAAAGGGCCTGATCTTCTTGATGTTAAATAAAGCAAATCTGCAGGACCGGGCAGTTTTAGCAATGTGGTCTGAGAAAGTCAGCTGATCATCAATCATAACTCCAAGGTTTCTGGCTGTTTTTGAAGGAGTTATGGTTGATGTGCCTAACTGGATGGTGAAATTGTGATGAAACGATGGGTTTGGTGGAACCACAAGCAGTTCTGTCTTGGCAAGGTTGAGTTGAAGGTGATGGTCCTTCATCCAGCAAGAAATGTCTGTTAGACGAGCTGAAATGCGAGCAGCTATCGGCGGATCATCAGGATGGAATGAGAGGTAGAGTTGAGTGTCATCAGCATAGCAGTGATATGAAAAGCCATGTTTCTGAATGACAGAACCTAGTGATGTCATGTGGACAGAGAAGAGAAGTGGTCCAAGAACTGAGCCCTGAGGCACCCCAGTAGTTAGATGATGTGACTTGGACACCTCACCTCTCCAAGATATCTTGAAGGACCTATCTGAGAGGTAAGACTCAAACTACTGGAGTGCAGTTCCTGTTCCTTAATTGTTCCTTAAAATTTAATTAGCTCTTCTCCAATGGAGTGTTTTGCCAGTGTCTAATTCGTGCACAAAATGTGGATAAGCTACAGCGGGAAAACGTGAGTTTATATCAATTCCTCAAATTTAATTGATCTAATTAATTTAATTGATAATCAATGTCCAAAAAGTTGAATCAACTAGAAAAAAATAACTCTAATAATAACTAAATACATAGAGAGGTATATAGAGTGCACTATATATGCACTGTTAATGATTTTTTATTTAATGTATGTTTAAATAAATCTATCTATTATTGCCACTATTTAAACAACAAATTGGAGTAGAATGGAGTGATATAAAACTGCCTTATGTGCAATTTAAATGTTTCTATGTAGCTCAGTTTTTATTTGAGTTTGGATTAATACACTCGATTAATAAACTGTTTATTAAATAAATATTATTTTTGGTTTCTGTTTGTTTCAGTGTGTAAAATATTCATTTCAGTGCATCCCAAAAATAAAACTCTTGTTGTTGGATCACTTCTATATGACCAAAAACAACACAAATAATAGCATCTGTATGCTGTTACTACTTTAAGTTAAAATAAAAAAGGGTAACAATTTACTTGTGTCCATGTTACATGTAGTAACTACAGTAAATTACCTGTAATTAATGTGTGAATTTTTTACTCAGTACTCAGTGTAATTAATAGGACACATTAAAGTGTGATCAAAAAAGCATTAAATATCCATTAAGGAACTGAACTGTCTCACCTCTTGAACCTGAACATGGGGTTTTGGACACTGTGGCTATGGCACTGAAAGAAGAGCGCAAACACGAGCACGCTGCACCCCAGGATGCCCATCTCTGACCGGACAGAAGAGCGATCAACAACAGAACTGAGAGTGAGCCGATGCGTTTCAATCCTGCCCTGCCGCCATAAGCCACGGCAACACTCAGCGACTGCGATTCGCTCTTTCTGCTCTCCTCGCTCGCTCAATCTCTTCAACAAAGTGCCATAAAAACAGTCCACGACTCAGTCGCCTCCTCACTGAATGAAACCAGGGTTGTCCAGATACAGTGTGACACCGTCAAGCGTGATGAAGAGGAGGAGGAGGAGGAGGAGGAGGAGGAGAAAGGCTTCTTGCTTCTCACAATTTCACGAATGCAACATCAGGTTTCTGTCACAACCTGCAAAAACAGCAGACAAAACAGAAAAGATGAAAATAATACAAATAACGTTTGTAAACGTTAAAACCCTTTTAAAATATGATCCAGCAGAATCATCAGTGAGATCAATTCTTACATCCCGACCAACATTCATGAAATATACATGCAGTCCATCTCTGAAGAGACAGAGAGAGAGGGAGCACACAATAATCTAATCAAAGAGGATTCCCATAACAATACCCTCGGCTCGCTCCCTAGGAGACACAGGAAGTGAAGGGGCCTCAGCAGTGCTTCGGGACGGGGATGTCACTTCAGTAGGGCGGCACCATACTCAATATTAGGGTTGGGTATCGTTTGAATTTTATCGATTAAAAGTTTAAAAACACTGCATAGTTTTCTTTTCATAAATAAAATATAGATTAATCAATTAAATTTCTTAAATATATTCAGTCAAGATCAGTGAATGATTTTCTTTTGTTCTTTGATTAACATTAATGACAGGCAGTGCGTTTATTAGGCTGCTGTCTCTCTAACACCGAACGCACGCAGATCTAAAAATACTGTACATGTGTGTTTTCTTTCTCATCTGTTTACGTTCACGTAAGACAAAAACGGCTGTGTTTATGATGATATACTGACATAGTTTTCTGCATATTGGTCGACAAATATGAAAGAAGTCAGTTTCAGCCCGGAACAACCTTTTCTACAGTGGAAATACACGGAACGGTTCGAGAACGGACACAAACCGGGAACCTGTACCACGACCTCTGTTCTCTGTGCTCGTGCTTCGTGTGCGCTGCACGTAAACAGGGCGCAAGGTCTTTCCGTTCCTGCACTTAAATCGATTTTTAATCACATTAAAATGCGAACGCAGGAATCGTTAAGCAGAATCGAAATGCACGCATCTTATCGAATACCCGGTTCTTGGAAATTTGGAACCGGTTCTAAAATGGAACTGGTTTTCGATACCCAACCCTACTCAATATCTCTGCAAGTCTTCAGATTGAATGAGAAGCACTTAGAGGTATTCTCTGGCAGACGTTGGTGAGCTGATCTGGGTGTAGAGTTAATGAGCAGGGCTGAGCCACAGGGGATTATGGGAGGTATGACCATGCCGTGTGTTCATCCTGAGAGCACCATCAATACTGTACATCCACATTCAGTGCCAGCGGCAAGAAATTTCAATACAATCAATGGGATGCAAAAACAGATGCTCGCTGCTACACTAATCGTGACTGATATCATTTGTGTAAAGGCAGATGTCTCATGATGAAGAGGAGAGGCCTATTCAAAGAAAGACAAATAAATGACAGGAAAAACAAGCAGACGGGGAGGAACTGAGGGCTTAACGCTTTCAGCGTAAGCTGAATTAATCGCTGAAATAATCCTCTTGTCACTGATGGAAATTAACATATCGCCAAGGAGCTGTTTGGTCTTTCTGGGCATATATGATATCAAAAACATACGCAGCTTAACAGACACGGCAGACTCAGACTCTTACCTTGCATATTCTCAGGAATAAACTAGCATATTTGGATAAATTTGACATTTTTAAACAATATAACAGCATTTTTGTGTTTCATCTTTACAAATCATTAACAAATAAATAAATAAATTATAGTAAATATGGTCCAACTCTCGCTATTAACAAATCATTAACTATGACTTTTGCCTCAGTAAACTCCTAATTAGCTGCTTATTAATAGTTAGTAAGGTAGTAGGTAAGTTTAGGTATTGTGTAGAATTAGAGATGTAGAATATGCTCATGCAGAATATGTGCTTTATAAAGACTAACAAACAGCCAATATGTTAATAATAGGCATGTTAATAAGCTGCTAGTTAATAGTGAGAATTGATCCCTATGCTAAAGTGTTACAGTAAATATTAAATTAACATAAAAAAGCATATTTGGATAAATTTGACATTTTTAAACAATATAACAGCATTTTTGTGTTTCATCTTTACAAATCATTAACAAATAAATAAATAAATTGTAGTAAATATGGTCCAACTCTCGCTATTAACAAATCATTAACTATGACTTTTGCCTCAGTAAACTCCTAATTAGCTGCTTATTAATAGTTAGTAAGGTAGTAGGTAAGTTTAGGTATTGTGTAGAATTAGAGATGTAGAATATGCTCATGCAGAATATGTGCTTTATAAAGACTAATAAACAGCCAATATGTTAATAATAGGCATGTTAATAAGCTGCTAGTTAACAGTGAGAATTGGTCCCTATGCTAAAGTGTTACAGTAAATATTAAATTAACATAAAAAAATGGCACTCAATTCTGGCCATTTTACCCTTTTCAATTTAAGGGGGCCTTTACACGATGACACCATTTTCAATGAAAAACGGAATACTTTTTATGAGCTTCAACTGATTATTTACACAACAATGACATTTTGAGGGCCTGAAAACAGGTTTCGCAGTGCAGGTTTTTGAAAACAATACCGTTACAGTCTCAAAAAACGAGAAAATACAAAACTGAATTTGTGAAAACAAGCCAGGACTGTATGAACGAGTAGCCAATGTCAATCTGCTTTCGACTTTAAAAAGTCTGTCTGATATGTTGTCAATACAAGTAGGCAGCTGTCTTCTAAGCTGAAGTCATTTTTTTTAAACACTCAAAAGAAAACTGCAATCACATGCTCCTAAGCATCATTTATGTAATTTTCAAGGATGATGAAGTGATCTATAGAGCTACTTACTTTTCTAAAGCCACAGTGCGCATCACTTAAAAGACTCCATTATCCATACAAGTCATTCGTTAACCATTCTCTAACCATTTTACATAACTCATCAAGGAACTAGAATGAGCATTGTGATCCTTCCCTGCTTTAGAAATATGAAAGATTTCCACTTCTTTTCAACAATTTTTCATGGAAAGTATACAATGACAGTGTAAAGTAATTCTTTGAAAGCTGAGTGTGGACGTTGTTTGGACAACAGCTGTATTATGTGATCTCTTTATGGCTGCCGTTGATGAAAGGTTGGCTATACGAAATTATCATAGAAGAAAATAACACCCTTATTTTCTTCTGCAACTCGAATTACTTGAAAAGCTTCCTTTTGACACCAAAATATTTCTATATTAGCCATTTCTTGTTTTGTGGTTGATAATTTATCTCCAAGATTAATAAACTGAATTTAAGATCCCATCATAACACAAATCAGATTCCTTCTTCATTAAACCTTCTTCAATGCTGGATACAAATTATCATCAACTTTTAGCCTCATTAATTTCTCTGTGCTCGTGCTTATTTTTATTTAATGAGGTGCTCAGTTGTTCTAAAGAAGGACCTTTTTTTTTTTTTTTTTTTTTA